GTACTGATTTATACGACGTGTAATCAGCCAACGTGGCGGTGCAGAGTTCAAAAAAATGTTTTCCAATGGTTATAACATCTTAAAATACCATAATATCAAATTATACTTGTGTTAACTGTACAATATTTGTAGAACAGCTGAAATTGTTTTCAAAAATATTGACAACCATCGTCCGTCATTATCTACCTATATTGTTAAGCACACACAAATTGAGCAAATGTAAACTAGGCCTGCTATTACCTTTTTGGTTGTGAACTCTGCTAGGAAATTTCAGTTTATAAAAATGATCGATTGTAAATTCAGCCCGATAATTTTTACAGATAAAATACAACAAGCACAACATAATTTCATCTGAAAATAGTAAATAAGTAGGTACCTACCTACGTAATATGTAACGTATACATATACAATAGGGTGTTCCTTAGCTATACGAGAAAATTATTATTTATACATATTTATAATTACATATATTATATAATTTCATTCTGCGATAACAAATGTGCATACTTGTTAATAATATGAAAATCAAAATTAAGCGAAATAATTTTTGGAGGATAATGAGAATCACCTGTGTCATCTGGGCAATGCTAAATGTATCTCAAAAATGTTGTAAGATAATTATTAATTAGATATGAAAAGTTCTAATCATATATTATTTTTAATCAAGCCAGTTTACACGTCAATCATTTTTTACCTAAAAAACCAATATTATATTTATTTTAAGCCATTTGAACATTTTCTTTCCTCGGGCCTAGTTTACAATATTTCAAAAAACTACATACCTACATACATAGTTGTCCTAGTTAACTAAACTTTTAGGTGCTGTAAAGTGTAACCAGAATGTTCTTAGTCATTACTCATTAAACAGGTAGGTACAAGTAAACAACATTTGGGTACCTATCTCCATTTCACAAATTTTTCAGGAAAATAAAAAAACTGTTTAATTTGAACTAAACTTAGTACCTATATAATATATACCTAAATATATAATTGATTTTTATAGATAATATCACCTAGCTATTCAGTGTTTTATAACTATATGCTCAATAAAAATAAATATAAATTTTCAATTTTTATCCCGTAAATACTTTAGTACTGACGCGTTATTAATTAAATGTTTTGGAAATACATACGTGGAACTATCCGACGTAATTATACAAGTTATTTTTTCAACATTTAATTTTTCTTCTGCCCCAAACTGTATATCAAATCATGGTAGTTAATTTAGTTTCCCACACTGCTAGCACTTGTCTTGAGCCGCTCCTCGTACCTAAATGGTAATAATAGTCAATAATTGCCCTGTAGCTACTATATAATAATACACGGGTATAGGAATGGCCTGACGGCTGACCATCATTCATTAGTTTGATTTAAGTCAGTGTGACGTGTTGAATGACCATAGCTAAGCGTAGAGTGAAGAATTTATTTAGAGGGCTATAATCTTTTTAGATTCTGAGTGGAACGATGAATGTATTGATTTTACAATGATGTGTGTTTTTTTATTTTTTTTAAAATTTTTTTTTGTGTCTGTCATCACCTTTTAGGACAGTAAAACTGCTTCGATTTTCTTCAACAGCAACTTTTCTGATTGGAAAGTGAATCTAGTTGGAACTTTTGGTAAAAGATCTCCATTAGTTTTCAAAACTGTCTAGAAAATCAAAAACACCAGCAAAATCTATTTTTTTAGTGTAGGTAATTCTAGAAATAATAACTGTAGATACATCCAATTTTCACAGAGATTTTATACTATCATTTTTTATACATGGTACAATTTTCAAAATATTTTGACTCTTTAGTAGAATTGAAAAAAAAAGTTAAGTGTAAAATGTAAATCCACAATATTCTTTTATGAGCATCCTAAAAAAAAAAAATGTTGGTAAAATTCGTCAAAATTAAGAACATTTGTGAATACTGGATTATTTTGAATTGAAAATGTATAAAAAACTTTCTATTATTATCTAAGATTTGAAAATGTAATACAAGATTTCACAAGACTTTTCACAATACAGTTGACACAAATACAGAATAATGATATTTTAAAATATAATATTTTCGATAAAAATCAATTCAATCTACTGTATTACTGAATACTTAAAGTAAAATAAATTACTTTAATAGCAATAATAATATCGTAAAATATACTTAGTAATATGGGCTGACATACCGTATACTCTCAGAATCGTTTTTATTATATAATTATACAATGATCCATTTGACAACTTATGTAGAGGTACAGCAGAGCGGTACCCACTTGCCGAGATACACTCGATACTTATTATCCAGCAGAGCGACTTCGAACATGGGTTTTTTATCAAAATAGAAAATGTGTAATGTGTAGCATGTTACTAATAAGCCATACGATATAAACAAGTATAATAGGATGGAGAATAATTGATACGATTNAAAAGCTTGAAAATTTAATACAAGGCTCCTGATATATTTTTACAATAGCAATTGTAAAATATTTAAAATACATAGGCACAATTTTTTTTAATAAGCATTTAAAATTCGAATTTTGACAAAATTTATCAAAATCTCGAAAATTATTAATCACTGTAATTAAAAATTATAAAATGTTCAGTTTTTATAACTAAGGATTGAAAATTTAAAACAAAGATTCTCATAAATAGTTCATACTGTAACCAAAAAATCTACAAAATACATAAACACAGTTATTTTTTACAGACATTTTAAATTCAAATTTGGACGAAATTACATATTAAAATCAGTAGTAACGATTTTGGTTATTTTGTTGTAATTTAAAAATATTATTCGTCGGTATAATATGAAACTGAAGAATCAAAAAAATCAAAATATGGCCTATCTATACAATCTACAGTTTAATATTACGATTAAGTCAATTATTTTTTTAATACCATAGATAAGTATGTAATATGTCTTAAACAAAGACTGACATACCGTCTCCACTCAGAATCATTTTTCTTATACAATGATATTGTATCATTGAATTCAAATTTAATTCCATCCATTATACAGTGACCCACTTGTAACTTACTGTACAGCAGAGCGACATCCACTTACCCGCTTTTTTTTTCTCTTGGTATCGACGGCGTTGCTGGAACATCTTGCAAATTCTGAGGGGGCTTAACATAATTGTGGGGTGGGGGCTATAGCCTCCTTAGCTCCCCCTATTATACTCCTATGGAACAGGCATGATTGTACAGTTCGATTATTACAACATTCTTGTGGGTATAAGGTATAGCATAGCTATATAAATAAGGCTTTACAAAATGACATTTCTATAGTCAACGTTTCCAAAACGAAAATGTCATTTTCAGATAATTAGGTACACAACAATATAAAGGTCGTTTATTAAATAAAGACAATGTGAGCAGCTTAAAGTGACTGACTTTTCAGCAACTTTTATTCATTCAAATCGAGTAGGCCATTGTGGTTGATGAGTGATTCTAAGCGGAGATGGTCCGTTAGCCATATTATTTAGTATATTTTATAATATACACATGTTTATATCGCTATTATTGTAATTTATATCACTGTTGGGTTTTTTTCAAAATTAACACATCTATTACGGTGACTCCGCTAAAATTCTAGACACCTTATGTAGGTTACAGCAGAGCGTTAGCCACTTTTTTTTATTGATCTTAATAATAAATATACAAATATACACAATATTTTATTTATTATAATTTTGTTTTAATAAATAATAATCATTATGATTTAATACATTTTACTAACACTACAGTTACGGTTTACATAATAATTTAGTTACCTCTAGTAGTATAGTATAATTGTGTAACAATAACCTTAACGCATCAATATTATTAAACTAAGTCTAAATAATAACAACATTATGTTTCACAATACAAATCGCTGTTCAATATATAGTAGTACCTATGGCAAAGTATAAACATTTTTTACGCAATCGTATGTCGTATATTCACTCGTCATATTATATGTTTTGGAGTAATGCACACATTTAGCAGCTTACTTACAAACGGGGTTTTTGAAAAATTCTTTTGTAAAATGTAAATAAATCAAGATAGGTAAAATATTTATGATATCAGTTCCATAAGTTTAGCTGTATATTATCGTGTACCTATACCTACGCACATGGTATACTTTTATTTTGAAATACGCTGTAAGTGATGTTTGATTATGATTTTAGTTTTTAATAATACTGTATAATATTGTTGATTGACTCAAATAAATTTTTCTATCTATAGTATATGAATATGATTTTTAAAAGAAATATCTATTTTAAAGGCCTTAACAGTTAGTATAGTTGGTATACTATAGTATATTATTATAACAAAAACTTGCTTAACTTTAGATTCATAATATAATAGACTTGATAAGTATTAAATAGGGGGCATATTAATATTTTAAAAGTATTATCAGTAGGTATCTAAAAACAATATTCTGAAATATGCAAAAATTCTATTTACCATCTGGTATAAGTATATTTTTTATTTATTTAATATTTAACAATTAACCGATTTAATTAACTACCTACTTGAGTTTTTTTAGATATACATTATATATTGGTAAATAATATAAAGAGGAATAACCGATTTAAATATATACAGTATTTTATTAGAACTGATCTGTAAAAGATGACTTTTCATTAATTAGGACTATAGTTTAAATAAAATTAGTAAAATAACGTCTGGGTTTACACTTAATATTACAAATTTAACATTCAACATTTTAACACGGACACTCACACACATAATATTTATGTGTAATATTATTTAATATATTATAATTATTTAAATTAAAACTAATTACTTACTATAACGTTTACAAATAAAACGTTTTAATAATATTGGTTAAAATAAAATAACAATATGACTAAATTCCAATGTTGAATAGACTTGGAAAGAATTGGTAACCATAATAATAAATTGTTATATAAATTTAATACGAAAAGTATATAATAGGTCCATTGCGCAATTTTAATATTTTCTTTGGGGCTGAATAAATTTATGAAAAGTGAAAGTTTCTGCACTCCACTTTAGCTGGTCTACCTTAAATATTTTTTTAATTTCTCACAAGATAATGTCATATCATTTTCATCGATACATTCTCATTATTATTCGAACCTAACTTGGGTGGTCAGGGGTTAATTGTTACACATCTTGGTTAGTATACATACATCCCACACGGCCATACACCCATCCACAACATAGTAACTAATACGTTACATTATCAAATGGATAAACGATAATAGAAATTAGAAAAGTGTTAGCTAAAATCAAAAAGAAATATAACCGCGAACGAATCATACGTTATTTACATACTATACATTTTAAATGAAAAATATAATTATTAGATAACAGATGACTTCAATATTATATTTCATTTATAGCAGCAGTTGTTGCTGCTGTTTGTAAGATTTCTATAATGTTGATAAAAAATGCGTGTTATAAATTAATATTTAAAAAAATATTATGTGCTAACCAATTGGATTTTTTTATGATACTTAGGGAATTACATAAGGGATTACGGGAGAGGGGGTTGTAGTCTTTCAAATTTCACTTGGTTGTATGAAGTTTTAATGTGTTAATTGGTTAGAATTGTTATAGAAAATACAGCATATTACCCATAATTTTTATTTTTTGAACAATTATTGTTATTGTTCATTAATATAAATTATTCAAATTAATTATACTATTTTATAATACATTTGTTTAAATGATGGTTATGCATTTTTATGTTTCCGATACGATGAAAAATAATTTAATAATATAATTCTTGGATTTCCTGATTACTGTATGGTATAATATACTAGCACATTGGTCGTTGACATTATTGTTGCTGAAAAAAAACTCAAAAAAATGTTTACAGAGTCGAAAAAACCTATAAAACTACAGCAGGTATATTCCTGACGATTGTAGTTTCTTTAAAAAAATTAAACTATTATAGTTTTCTGTTTTTTTTTCAATAGTGTGGTGAAATGATCGTCAATAATAGACCGATAAAAACGTAGATCGATGGTATAATAATAATATGCGATCTGCAGTTTTCGGCCCGGACCGGTGTTAGGGACTGTAGGGGAATAAATGTGTATTTAGCATAAATACATCCCCAATATTGCTACTCATAATATTACCATAGACTTATAATAACAATAATGATAATAGTAAATAGTAATTGATTTCGAATTATGTACTATAATAATAATAATAATAATAATAATAGTAATAATTATTATTACTGCTGTGTTCATAATACATGAATGTATAATGTGTGTATAATGTATATAGTAAACAAGGTAACAAGGTATAGCGCCGGTATATTATAATTATTATAATATTGTTATGATACATTGAACAGGTTGTCGTGTTCACACGCAACTCTCGGGGCCGGGAATGCCGCGGTTCACGATCGACACCAAAAACTGTTTGCCGTAGTTTTGTTGGATCATTATGTCGGGCGCGGGGTCGCCGGGATCGCCGGGATCGCGATCCCGGTCCGACCCGGTCAGATTTGGGTAGACGTTTCGCTGCTGCTGCTGCTGCTGCTGCGGTCTCCGCGAGAGCAGCGAATGTTTTTCGCCGGTCTTGTCTCCACCGCCGCCGCCGCCGCCGCCGCCGCACGCCGTCAGGTCGTTGGACGCCATGGCCGCGGTTTCCGTGATCGTCGGCGATCTGCCGCCGCCGCCTCGCCGCCGCCTCCACAACAGAAACGCCGCCGCGATGACTATCGCCGATGTCGCCGCCACCGAGACGAACACTATCACGCCGGTCGCCGTGGTGCTCTTGCCGCGACCGTTCGGCGCGTTGCTCCACCGATCGCCGTCGTCGTCACCACCGCCGCTCAACATTATCCACCATTCTGCTCGCAACACATAACGTGACAATAGTATAACATTATATCTTGTTATAGTCTTAAAACAACGATTTTCGGGGTTAAGCACTTTATATTTGAACCCGGTTCGTCGCGATACCTATAAAACGTATCTTTAATCTAGTACACCCCTATCTGCGGGGACGGATTGGAATATACATTTTGTGGCCCCGAAAACCTGTTGGTATGTATTTGAAAAAAACTATACTCTAAATACTCATAAACTCATAGATAGATTTAGCTATGAAAATGTGTGTTTATGCTTTACCAATTAATTCATTATTACGCTAGTTTTTTGTTGATGTTTTTGATCTACTTGCTACCTTGTTGATTATCTCATCTAGTCATCTGTGTCAATATTGAAAAGCAGATCTTTTTCGATGGACATTAAAATGAACGCCTCAAGTTACAAGGCACATCGCGAAAGCTCGGAGGGTTCGTGTTAAAACCTGGGTGTCACCAACTACATATTTTGGTAGAAACTACTGTATCGGGTGATGTTTTTTCGAAACCTACTATTTTAACGAGGCAATATCGATGATGCAATCAGAACTCAGAATTTGTAGCTTGGACTTGTAAAACTACTGGTCAAGTCAGTATTTATCTTAGGTCTACACTCATTAAACTCTCTCCCTCCCACCGAGAGCCAGAAAGTATCCACTGAGTCAACTATATATAAACTCAAGGATTGTCTGCTCCCAAGAGAGGCTTGTAGGACGCCACTAGAACCTCGAGTTATACAACCGGAGCTGTTAGTATGACAAACGTGGAGTCATACTTCAACTGACAAGGTTACATACGTACAATACTTACAATAATTGTATTGCCATAGCTTAGGTACGCATGCGAAAAAAAAACAGAAAATCGTGAACTTCAAAGAGCTCTAACTTCGTTATTCTAGACTTATATTGTATCGTACTTAAATGACCATTTTTGAAAAAAATTATTTTTTGTTATTATAGATTATCATGTCTCTTGATTTATGTATTTTCTATATAAGTAATAACTAATAAGTATAACTATATAGTATATACCTACCTATTATGTTAATATGTCATATATTTTAATTTTTGATAATATTCCAAATTGTATTCCAGAATACTAGGTATTATAAATAGTGCAGGATAGTTATTCATCTAATAGTTAAGTACCTATACTATAGTACTACTTATAGTAAGTACCCATGTTATAATAAGCAAGATAATAAATGTATGTGTATATAGTCTATAGACTATAGTCGATATTTTTGGAAAAAGAAACAGTAATTTTGTTCAGAGTATGTCCCAATATGTCTGTGTATACTATATATTACTCAATTACTGATTAATCCATTTAAATTAGTCTTTAGATTCCGAGAGAAACCCGAGGAAAAATGTTTTTAAAAATTCACACAAATGTTTTGTTGATTACTCATTGTTATCGTAACACTACGGGAACGCCAACAAAATATCATCTAACATATAACCAGTATAATGTAAAGCTTCTCATTTATTTTCTCTATTAGTTAGTTAAAAGGTATAATATGGATATGAACAAGAGTCTAGTGCTTTGAGTATCTAGGACATGTCCTAATCGGGATTTTGATATATCTTAATAATATAATTAATTATTTTGAATTTGTATTGCATCATTTAATAGTTTATAAAAACATTTTTGGTATCTCCCATTTTCGTCATTCATTTTTCCCTATTTATTAAAAGTAAGATTTTGAGAATTCAAAATATTAATTATAAGAATAAAAAAGCTGATTTTTCAATAAATAATATTAATAATATTTTTTATTTTTTAGGGGGAATCCACAGCAATATAGACTGTTGGGTGTGAGGGAGGTATAGGTAGACAATTCTTTGTATAGGTTCAGTAGTTTTTATGGTAGGATTGTAACACTTGTTTGTGTATATGTGGCAAGAGGGTGTTGCTAAAGTGGTCACCCATCCGAGTGCTAGCAACGACGGCAGGTACGTACGCTCAGAGCGTACGACAAACCCATGTGAACTTGACAGCACTCCACCAAGCCACAACAATAAATAATATTCTATTCAATTTAAATTTAATTATTATTAACAGTTATTTATTGGATTAAATTGCTTTTTGGTTTTTATACTATATACTAATTGTTCATTTATTTATTTATTGTATTAATGTTATAAAAGATCAGAATATAATTGTAATGGGACCATTGAGTAAATAATATATGAATGGTACTCATCAATTTTACTAGCACAGTTTCATAATAATATACATATATCAATTGAAACCTAAGTTTTTGTTTTTTTAATATTTTCGACAGTATATTAGCTTTTTTAAATAACAATTTATCGAAAAATTGAATATTTATATGAAATTATTATTATTATTAGTTGTACCACTGTATTTGTAGATACCTATTATTTTTGTATTTTACTATTATTATGTAATATGTGATGTACGTACTCAACTGTGCTTGTATTTCTGTTTTGGACAATAATTATTATCTCTCTCATATTATAATTGTCTCATTTAGTGTTATGAGATGGGTTATTATTATTGTTATTATTTTTTATTCGTTTCTGATCCCACTCGTTTCCGAGAATTTCCACCTACTCGTCACATTGTATCCCCGGGAATTGTCCATACTTAGACACACTTCGACTAGTGGTGGCAAGGGGGCAGAGGGCAAGAGGCAAGGGAAAACCGAGCACGTGTCCCAGTGTCTCACCCAAAATATTGAATAAAAATAAAACTATGAAGAATAGAGATCTCAAATTAAATTATAACATAATATTGTGTCGGGCGTATGTCAATGACTATACAACTGACAATTATTATCGAGCAAAAAAGACATGTACTAAGTTGCAAACGATCGAAAACTCATAAAATACCATTATTTACTGGTATTTGGTCTAGGTATTTAGATATTAGACTATCGGCACGAGTGCACAACGCACCGGGCACAAGTCCACCGTGTGTCCGTGTACCCATAAACTACGTGAACGTATACAATAAATTGTCCTCGCCTGTCAGCACGAATTACACGGTGATGCGGGACACCAATAAACTGTGCCCGAGTCCTATATTTTTCGCGTTCTAATCGTCAGCGTCGTCGTCCGTATAATAATGCACAACGAACATTATTTTATCATTATATAGTTTTGATGACGACTGGGTAAACTATTTGTGCCCTGGTTACTGGGAACCAGTATACACATCCATACGCCACTGATTTCTAGTTTATAGTGTTTCTACCCAGCACCCCTCCAACAATTTACCAACAATAAATCTATGCATGTAAACATCGTACATAATATTATATCAGTCCTTGGAGTTTTGTAGAACAGTAAAATAAAAATTTCAAGTTAGTAGACGTTGGTACTACTTATACTTTATAGTTAGTAGGTAGTAACTAGTAAGTATCAAAAATAATTATCGCATAATATATAAATATTTTTAAATTATTAGATTATGATAAATTAATTATTAATTATTCGTTATGGTTGGATGTATGTGATTCAACGTTTATTTACTTTTATTTATTACATTTGATAAACAAATTTTTGATTGGCTTGTGATTACGTTTATAATTGTCATTTATTAATTCATTATTAATTTCGTTGTCAGTATTGTTTAAGAACTCCTAGTTGAAATACTCGAGAATTGCGTCCGGGATTTCTCGGGACGTAATTCGTGTATACCTTTTTTACGGGACCCAACTCGTGGGCTCTCAAATCACGCGTACAAATTAAATTCAAGTTCAAACACGATGACCAACGAATCATGACGTCAAAGTGTCAAACCGGGAGTATCCCAAGTGTGGGGGGGGGGGGGCACAAAAACTTTAATTTATCTTTGGCCCGACTGTAAAATACCCCCTCCCCGTTACGCGTATTATGCTCACCTATAATTGATAAACAATATACTCGTGGTAAATACGCGCACGATCGCACGACACAAATAATAATAATATTTATAGGTGTTGTCATTGGTGAACCGAAACGGACAAAACGTACCGGTGGACGATGTGCCGGCCGGACCGGCGGCCCTCGTGCTGCTCTCGTGTGCCGACTCGCCGCGCCACCACCACGGGTGCCTCAACAACATCACGTTGTCGCTACCGAAATAAGTGTGCGGGCCGCGGCCCATGCGGTTGGCCGCGTACGCCGACAGGGTCAGATGTTTTCGACCGTCGTCCGGGCCGTTTCTCAGCCGCAGGTTCTTGCGGTTCACGCGGTACTCGATCGAACCGCCGCCCGCCGTCGACGCGGCCGCGGTGCCCGTCACGTTGTCAGCGAGCCATTCGCCGCGGTACTTATTGCGTCGAACTTCGTCGTCGTCGTCGTCGTTGCCGCCCGCCGTCGAGTAGGATGATCTGCAAGACAGACGTGCAGACGTGGCACTTATACTTGTATTTTACAAAACAGACGACACATTAGGTATTGTATTATAGTACGTGTTATACTGTGATAGTAATATGTTACGGTCAAAGATGATTACAATAGGTACGGTCGAGACGGGAAGTCATTGGCTGGGAAATACCGTCGTTAATATCGGTGCATCCGAATTGCATGCCAAAAAAATTAATAAAAATCGGGTCGTCCGAATTGCATGCCGTCTCTTGGAGGGGTCTGTCTGAATTGCATGCCATCTCTTTGAGGGGTATATCCGAATTGCATGCCATCTCTTAGAGGGGTATATCCGAATAAATAACTTACTTTTCAACTGGATGATCTGGATTTTGTTACATTACAATAAAACATATAAATAGTGCAGAAGGTGACACTGTGAATAAGAATCATAAAATAAAACTATTTTTTTTTCATCAACAACAAAGGCCATTAGTTAAATAAAACTATTGCAGTTTAGGGTAATCAAGTGAGTGTATTTTAAATAATATTATTTTTAAATTTGGTGGTTTTTTTTGACATTTCGGGAAACAGACCGAGACTCCAATATAGATACTGTCTGGGAAAATATTTACACGGATATAAAAATATTTCAATCCAGAAACTTATCACTAAACAGTTGTAACAACCATACATAAAAGAGCGTTTCTATACATGCATTTTTTTTAAAAAAAATAGGAAAGTCTAAAAAAAAGTTTAAGTTGTTTAAGTGCATAGTAAATAAACGTGTGGTATACGGCATGCAATCCGGACAAAGCCCTCTAAGAGATGGCACGCAATTCGGACAAACCCCTACAGGAGACGACATGCAATTCGGACATTTTTTTTTTTGGCATGCAATTCGGATGCAGCCGTCAATATAGGTACCCAAAATTTGATAATTATATGCTGAGAGATTTCGTTTCGACTTTTAACGACCTCAATCTCCCGGGATTGATCGTCTGAGATAATAAAAATGCAGCGGGTAGCGTATTTATATGTTGTTAACTCAGGAGCGCAATTTTAATGAAAAAACTACCGGCGCTCAAGCCCTATATTTTTTCAGTTAGGTAGGCTTATGGGCATGGCTTATATTATGGTGTTTAACTTTGCCTCCCTCCCCCCTCACCATAGACCCTGCCACCTTATACAACCGTCTACTCGCATCTAACCCAGCTCCCAACCGTTGGACAATTTTAAGGAATTCGATCAAACCGAGGTAGGTACTTTTAAAATACTAACATAGACTGCTGAGCAGCCTATAGGTTATCTAAGGTAACTCAAGTAAACAAACATTGAAATATGTTTTTGTTGAGTATAGGTGCACAGAAAAATGCTATTTTAAATCAAAATTAAAGTGACTCTACAGGTGTCTGTGAAGTTGCCATCCCTGCGACGACTTAGTCCGATCGATACGAATAATATTTAAAATGTCCTATAATGTTATGAAAATCAATATTAAATACTTAAACGAGACATGTTCGCAAATCACAAAATCTGTTTTGCAAAATATTGACACATTTTTTGACAAGATCAAGTATAGTGTAGGAGGGGGGCAACTCCACGGACATACTCTAATTTCTCGAACTACAGTTATTGATGGGAATGTAGGCTACCTGCAGCTACGGCACGGTGATATCCTCAGGCATTCTGCATTTTATGTGTAAGGTGTACCTATATATTATTACATTCGGTTAGGTGCTGGCTGATCTGTGATTCGTGTCGTACATTTAAGCGTACATATTTCGAGTTGTTGTACAACGGTACTTGGGCTTTAGCCTTTACATACATAATATAGAAACGCCATGCTATACACACCGGTCGGTCGTTTCTATAGATAATATATTGTCGCGATGTGCCGATGTCCGGGCAGAGTTATCGTTATATGCTTACCTATGAGGTAAATACACTGGGTGAAATGACAGCGACTCGATTATGTGACCGTAGATTTACTATCATACTATTAGACAACAAATAACCTGTACTGCGTATAGTACTGTTTATTTTTTTTCCTCCCGGACATGATGTTTAAACTCACAATATGGGTGTATAGGTGGCAGGAGCATTGGTTTTATAACATATGGAATCGATGGTAGCATAGAAGGTTACACGTAGGTAGCATAGTAGGTTACACGGCTTTAATAAATATTCTATTATTTTGTATGCGTCTATACGTCGAAATTCGATTTGTATAATTTTATAGCTGCAAAAATACCATGCACGTTTACAATAATATAAAATATATATAATATGATAATATGCTATTCCGTATATACCTATGGCCAATGCGGTGTTAAAATGTCACTATATATCAGGAGAATAACACGTGTGCTTTGGCCTTTGAGTAATTTTGGGATCCTGTATCCAACATTAACGATCGATTTCTTTGTATTTTTTTTTTGTGTGTTTTGAGGAAGATGCAAACCCGACAACTTCGATAGTTCTTGACTTATTCGTTCTCAATCCGTTCAAATTAAGATTTTTAATTTTTCAAAACGATTCTTCACCGATGTTCACAAACTTTGAATTTTTATTTTTTAATTACCTATATTTTCAGTACCTATGCTATTATAATGACGTGTATTACAAATGTGTTTAACATTCCGAATGGATTTTATTCGTTAATTAATAATTTATATCGTTTTTGATAATTTTTCATCACAACTTGATTATTTGGGTCGTATATATTTTCCATTTTACCATACTTATTAATGGATGATTACCATAATTAAAATATAATGACAATATAATTATAAACAATTAAATCAAAATATATTTGTAAGAATGATTAGAATGAAGAATACCTAGGTATACCTTTTATATTGACATTGATTTAAATCATATTACATGTATTCTCAATTATGAATAAACGTATACTACCTACCTATCGTACCTAGATAATTTCTGCTTAAATGGTTTTAATAATTATGCTCTGTTTGAACTATAATATACTATTATGTACCAACAAGAGTCGAGGCTTCAATGGATGAAAATGTGTTCGCATTGCTTTAGTTGAGTTTTTATAATTTGTTTGGAAAGTTAATCAACACGATCTTTTTTTTTTTTAACTATTTGGTTAGTGGCAAGTATGTATGTTTGGCCTTTTAAGCATTTGTACACTACGGTAAAAAAAAACAGGAACGGTGTCAATATTTAACCATACGATTTATATATTGCTCGTTCTCCGCGAACAATATACCTATATGAATTGGCGGTGCTCACGGACCAGCTACTGGACGACGACCGGTCAGAACAAACAATCGATTATCTGTTTTGAAATATTTTATTTTACATTAATTTGATTAACCCTTTAACACTAATGAAATCTGCTGTTTGATCGGCCGCCCCATTTCGACCGTGACATATTATGGTATACAGGGTGTAACAGAAACAATACCGAAACGTGCAATTATCTAATAATGTAATAACGTATAACACCAATACATTTGTAATAATTTTTTATTTTAATGATGATATTGTATTGTTGATTTTATATTTGAAATTGATTAAGAACAAACGTTATTACCTACATAACCATGTAATTAAATACCTATTGTCTGTTGTATTAGGTGTTACATCCTGTATACTCAATAAGTATTCTACGTGAGTTCGTAATATTTATTTTAATCACTGACCCGTAAACCGTTGTGGTCAAATCATTGCTCTCATAAATCTCTAACGAGTAAGTCACAGGCCTCACTCCGCCGTCGTTGTCTAAAGTACAACTTATTGTTGCCAAGTCTTTGTCTTCCACGCCGTCGTGGACGATCGAAGTACGTCGTTGATGATGATGTTGTTGGTGATGGTGATTGTGATGTCTACTACCGGTACCGGCGTGGCGTTCTTGATCTTTGGGTAATCGAATTGCGCAGCCAGTCAAAGGACCCGGAGGAGCTGTGTATAAACAGACAGACAAACGAGAATAATAATTATATTTTTATTTTTAACGAGGGCTCGTTTAAGAGGTATTCGTTCCGTGCTCGGAAGTGCGGTGTACACATTCTAAATACGACATGTGCACCAATACCACCGAAGTTAAAAAAGTGCAACTGGCGTTTAAAAACAGCTACCTGTCGACAGTATAATAGTATGTTCATTACAATATATTATAATACTTATATTTTTAATGCGGCAGCGAAAATTATTTTAGTCAAATATATTCTAGACGGAAGCGAAAATAAAAATAACGAGATGTTGGTTGAATAATATACATTTTTTATCATTGTACTTCAAAAGTTTCTATCATCATGGGTGTTCTGTAACATTTAAACTGCTTTTATTATTATTACTGTTAAACATTATCCGGAATAATATATTATAACAGAGTAGTTCCTATAACTTTAAGTTGATTAAATAACAATGTAACAATAATATTGTACCTATTCGAAGAAAAAATTATTCTCAGTTGAGTAAGTTCTTGTAAGAAAGCGCTCCGAAAATTAAATGTTACAGCTATAGTGATTATAGAATCTAATATAGCATTATAGTGGTAAAAAATATTAGTTCAGCAATTACAAGATAGTTTCTTGTAATTGCTGAACTAATATTTTTTTTTATAAAAATTCAAATATCAAAAATATGGGGGATATTATATGCAATTCAATGCATGATGTAATTATCAACTATCGAGCCTTATATTATGAAAATCACAACGTGTCTCGTGTTTGACCTAACAATATCATATTGTTTTATTAATTAATAAATTTCAAAAATTTTTGCAGATCCACTGAACCATATTTGTTATAATTATAAATAAAAAGTATTTTTTTTTAACCTAACATTTAAAATATAACTATAATGTTTGTTTTGTCACTGCGTTACTATTTAAGGTAGCCAATTTATATTTTATAGCGAGTGATTATAGATTGGTGTATAAAATATCGAGTTATTTAATTCTGATGATCATTCAATTATAGTAAAATACGGTATATATGTTTTTAAGTAAATGCAATTAATATGTACAATGTACATCATACATAATACATATATATCTATACGACAGACAAACACAATAAACACAACATTCCAGTTAAGTAGCCCGCACCTCAATCATTATTTAAACAGCCAAATAGATGTACTTCCAAATCCTACATTCGATTTTGGGGGTACGAGACATTTTTGGGAGGCTAGTCTCTCTCCTCGCCAACACCGTCTGTTATTGCTGTAAGTCCCTCAACCGTTGGCATTTACTCGAAAGTGAGAATTATTTACTATTAAGTATATAAACATACATTTTAATAAAATGAAAATCAATCAGAACATGGAACTGCCACATAATGGCATATTTCCGAGCGTAGTATTATAAATGATAAAAGAAATGATATCAAGATAAATGTTTCTTATCGTTCAAGTACGGGTACGACGACGACTAATTTAATAAAGTAATTCAGTCGTCACTCGTCAGTCTGCATTTGACGTTTGTGACTTTGTGTACCGTGCAATTCATATTATGTGCTCAGGAGAAAATGTGATATTTTATTTAATATGCCGATACATTTTAATATGTCGAGTGAATTTAGTGAAAGTGAATCAATATCGAAGCCATGGAAAAATAAACCAAAAGGTGTGGGTATATTTTTAGACATAGTTACAAAAAACCATTGAGTCCGAGACTCTGAGAGGCTGGTGCATTTAGTTTATTGTTATTGGTGGGTTACGTTTATTATTAAATATGAAGAATTTTTATTGCTTTAAATAAATACATTTGAATAAACCCTTAACACTATTCAACCAAAAAAAAAAAAATACCTGGTTTTTGCATTTAAATAAACAATACAGAAAAAGCAAATATCACTTGCAGTGATTTAAAATTAACTTATCTCGGAATAATAATAAAACGCCATAATACTATTAATTATTACTTATTCTAAGACTGAAGTAATACATTTTTAAACAGTTATTTTTTAAATACAAAACTAGTTCGTTATATAAATTTACAGAATTATAACCATGTACTAATATTAGGTACTATAGTCTATATTCTATAGTACTTAAGTTTAAAATGTATAGGGTACATATTTAATAGATTTAATTTTGAAACTGTTAAATGACAAGTTTTTCCATCGTAACCCACGCATTTATAACCGAATATGCGACTACGGGTAACTTTAAATTTTTGATTTATTTATTAAAAATTGTAGGTAGTTATAAATATTATATTTGTATGCACATTTTTACTAAATTATTTAATATATTTGTATTTATTGTATTACAATGATTTATTCGTGTATATTTTAAATGTACATGTATGTACAAACAATATCAACAATGTTACACTTATGGTTTGTGAGTAATGGCCGAATAAAAAAAGAATCATATACCTAAATTTGAAAGTGCAATAGTTCTATAGTGAAATGTCACTATTTTTTCACACATAGTGGTGTCAGATAAATGCACAGGTTCATTGGTTGACTCAAATTTTTGAAATTGTAAAAGTTGGGAACCTTATAAATATTACCTACGCATAATTAGACACTAATCTGCAGATGTACCATGACATCAGTTTAGACGTATAGTAAACAGATACGACTTAGAGCTGGGTAAAATTTAAAATAATTAATAAAAAATAAATAAAAAAAAAAAAAAAAAATTAAGTCTTAAAAATCATTAAAAATAGGGAGTATTTTTTAAAATATTCCACTTTTCCGACAACCCCTAAAATCAAATTCTTAAAAAGAGATTTTTAAAATCATGACCATCTCTGAATATATTATACTCTACGGCTGGAACTACACAGAATGCCTAAAATAAAGAATCTACTATAAGATAGATTATTATACTAATTTTTTTTTTTAAAAAGGATTTTTTTATTTAAATCAAATACCAAATCCTTCTAGTACCTAATTAAAATACAGATTTTAAAAATCATACAGGCGTCTCGGAAAAAATTAATTTTGAAAATCGTTTTTTTTTTTTTTTTGTGAAATCATGCTCAGCATTATCAGTATACTTACATGCCGGTATTATGTGATACAAACAAGCGTTTTGCTGACGGCCTACGGCGTTGGTGGCCCGACAGCTGACCGTGTCCAGCACAATGGGCTTCTTGACGTGCGGCGCTCTATCCACGTACTGGACCACGTCCGGAACGCCGACGGTCATGGCCGGAAGTACGAGCTCGCCGACGGCAGTGTCGTTCCGCTGATTGGGCAGCGCGGTGGTGACGTAACTTCCGGTGGCCACCACGCTCGGTGATTGTTGCTGGTGCAGATCACCGGTGGCCGCGGCCGCTGAGCCCGGCCACACGTACCACTCGAATTGCACACGGTCGTCGGCAGGGTCAGCTCTTACCCGGCACACGATGTGGACGTTGGCTTCGTTGGCTTCCACGCCCACCAATTGCAGTTGATTGCCGTCATCCGCGCAAACGGGAGCGTCTGCGATGCATTAATAGTAATTAGTACGAAAGTTAGAATTACCAATCAGTACGTTATTATTCAATTTCGTGTATACATATAATTATATTTTATGCGTTTGATGTATATTAGGTATTCACAATTTTGACTTTTTTGTATCTAACATTAACATAGAATAATTTATGCTTTCAGATTGTAAGGCACCATTTAAAGGAGACGGCAGCGTAGCAGTAATCAAATTTCACACGAAAAAAAAACCTTGAAAGGTGCAGTCATTTTCTGAAGCTATTTCATACTTAATGGATGGGAATGTCTTAGAAAGTCGAGATAATTTTACAATGTGACTGAAATCCAAAATGTTTGATTTGTACCTATAAACCTATACATTGTATACCTGGAGATTTACATCAGAAACATAAAAAAGGTCAAATTAAAAAGTCGTATTGTTTAATATTTCATGTTATAAAGATTTATTTTAACGGATTTGAACATTTATTTTATAGAAAGATACTATAGGTTCACTTGTTGAACGTTTTCAGGATCTTGATAAGTGACTAAAAGGCTGATTACATTTTTTTTGTTTTCAATAAATCATTATAATTCAAATAAAAATTTAATTTAATTTGCAAAATCTAAATACTGATTGTATAGAATATATATTTCAACGTTCCAGTTTTATAAGATGAACACTTTCTGAAAAACATTTTAAATCGATTTATAGGTATAAATATACGGTAAGTATCTAATATATATGGTTTATCTCAAGATCATCCAAATTCAATATTTTGACTGTTGGGTCTAAAAAAAAATTTCAAATCCGTTATAAAAAAGCTTCGGGAGTGAAACAGCAGTTTTAGGTTTTTTTCCATTTGAAACTTGATCACTGTGACGAGGTCGCTCATATAGAGCTAAAGTAAAAACAATTGTTTTTAAGCTTAACTAGTTAGTTCATTTTCGTATTTTCTTAAAAACTTAACCAGTTAAAAAATTCGTTGTAACAACTTAGATTTTTTCAGTTCATTTTGAAACTAATCTGTTAAGTGAAAATTATGTTTGAAAGTACATATATAAGACTATAACTGCAAAATTAAAATTAATTAATTATTTTTTGTTTATTTACTGTTCATACAACGTATTTAAATATAAATAAAACATATAGTTAATTGTTATTTAATAATTCAGTTGATATAAAAGGGTGATTGTATAAGCCACTATAGCTAGCGTGAAATAAGATAGAATAGTAAAAGACCCACGAGAAATAAAATACTAAGATAGTCCATATTTGAAAAAAATCTTAAAGTTGCACAATCATTAAATGTGTGACCCGGATGGAATAAAAAATAAAAAAAAAATATAAAAATAACATAAAAAATGAGTTTAATTTTTTTTAAACTGAGTATCTAATACTTGCATTTTTTTGCATAATTACTGATTTTGGGAGTTAAATACATTGTTTTATAACTATTAATTTAGGTTTAGATTTTTTTCATTTATTTGCCGTCACCGTTTGCTTGTAAAAAACATACCACTTAAAATCAAAAATGTGATATTCATTTAGAAATAATGTAGACACACTTCGGTACTTGTCCACGTGGTAGATTAAAATTCATTATATTTTAATAGTTTCATTCATCCACAAGCACATATTCATTGATATCATATAAAGTAATAAAACGAAGAAATAATCCAAAAATAAAACCAAGCCCGAATCCAATTCAATTAAATTTTTTGATGACGATCCAACACCGACATTTTATAACAATTATTATGGCTAAAACAAGATTGTTATATTTATATAAAAAAAAAAACGTGATTCAAACACAAGGAGTGAGAACAATTTCCTCCCCACCCGCTTAAATCCTCCACTTCACCCTTCTTTACTATATAATCTGACCGATATTACTATATAGTTCCACTACGATGACTGTGACCCTTTTTCGTAATATTCGGCGAATTATTATCCGGTCGCGCCACGTAACCACAAATATTTATCGAAATATATATATTTATACATTTATAAACATGTATTTTTATCGCCATGTACCTTTTCTTTTTTTTAAATATTAACTTAAATATAATGTATATTATACACCATGTTTTCATCTATACATTGAACACTCGATTTCTCTCACTCATTGGATTAAATGGGGCTTTATTGTCAACCTAACCCAAACATAGGTACATTTATAGAGCCATTTCAAATTTTAAACATCTCAGTACTTTTAAAAGTAACACCTACCTACTTTTGATATTATGGATGTTAATATTTCTTTAATATCATGTCGACTATTTTTAAACTATGGGTGTAAAATCAAAATGAATGACAAATGAGAACTGAGAAGTGAGAGCTATTTAAAATTGTGTAATAATTTATAATTATATTTTTTGACAATCTATTAAATGATGGAACTTCTGCGAAAATTGATCACTCTTACTTCTTAGTATGAGACATAAGAGCTATATTAATTAGGATTTAATATGTAGATTAATCAATATGATATTTGCCGGTAATTTTATAGGCAAAATACTTGAAAAAATTCAAAAATTAACTAATAGGAATGATTTAAACATCTCAATTCATCGAAAAAAACTGTATGTGACTGAATTTAAAATAACTTTCATTTAGTAGATTTTGACTTTTTAAATAATAGATTTTAAGTCAAAATGACGTTTAGAAAAATAGGCATACACAAATAGGGAATCAAAAATAGGTGCGTGAGTGTTGATATTTATAAAAAATGTATAATACATATTGCACTTAGAATGCGTGTAACTGGCGGGTCTTTGAAATGTGTCAATAATGGAGAAGGTATGTATACTCTGTATAACTGGATAACTTATAGAAGATATCAATTTAATCCATTGTAATTCAGTCGATAAATTGAGTATTCTCTCCATCATTTAAGTATTTAGCATATCATAGACCTTATACCTATACTCACAGACTGACCTTGCCTAAAGGGTAGTTATACAGGTCAAGAATATTATACAGCTGCAGGATGTAGACTTTAATAATTTATATCACATTGTCGTGCGGGGATCCGAATTTCAGGTTTTTGGGCCTCCTCTTCATTTAGGCCCTCTACTTAAAAAACAAGTTACGTTAGTAAATTATTATGAATGTCGTAAGCTATAATCGAATTAATTTTTATACTAGACACTAGTTCATGCAGTATAATATTAATATTTAATAATTATAACAATAATATGTTAAAACATTTGGAAACCACCCTAGTAGGCGGTTTAGAGGGGTTGGTTAGCGGATATGTTGATTCAATGATATACAATTATTATTCCAAAAAACGAATCTGAGCGAAGGCCCGTCAGCCATATATATAAAATTGTCAAGCTTTTTGACAAAATGAAAAATTGCTCATTGTTATTTATTCAAATGGCTACATATAGCTCAAAACAAATCAAAATATTTTGAAAATTTTATCATGACGTATAGAAAATGTTATAAAATAAATATTTCATGAAAATTTCAAATATCTATTATCATAAGCGTTTGAATTACAAACGAAATACCTATAAAAATCTTTTAATGAGAAATCATTAATTTATGGGTAAATATCTATCTAATGTCAAAAAAAAATTTTTTTAACAATAGCAAAATAAGATTAAGGAGAAGATTAAGAATCAGACTAAGGAGTCTTATATTAAATTTTCGTTAGTTAAATATTTGAGCTAAAAAAATGTACATACTACATAGGTAAGTAATATTCTCATCTGTATTTTGTTTATTTTAATTAGTATAATTAATAAGAATGGAATATTGGAATGTCGACAATTAGATGAGGGGAAAAAAAGGTTGCAGACAATGGGCAGGCATATTCTGGCGTAAACATCTTCTAAAATGTTGAACGGTAGCGTTATTTCAATAAAATATGCCCAGCAAAACTATTATACGACAAAATATAAGTGCAACATATGTCAGCTTGTGGTCGTTGAAGACATAATATAAAAATATATTAGTTTATTATACAATTTATAAAAAATGTGCACTATTAACAATACTATTATTATAACCCGTGATTTAGAAAAAAATGTACAGGTTCCTATTATTGTTTGTTTTTTGGAAAATATGTATGACTAATTATTTTTAAAAACTTATTGATTATGATTTAAAAACATTTAATAATATTAAAATGTAATATCCTTGCTTATTTTAAATTTTTTTTTAAATTTTTGTAGTGTTTTTAAAATATATGAATTGAACAAAGTCGTTAATGTAAAATTTGCATAGGTTAATTTGGTGAAAATGGATTGTTCGGAAAGACATACCTTTTTTATTTAGCACAAATGGACGATGCCTAAATTTTCAATTCTTAAGCGTAAAAAAAATGTTTTATACATTATTTATTCAAAACAATTTGCAAATTTTGTGATTTTAGTATATTTAGTCGAAATTCTAACTTCAGGCTCTCATAACAAATGATTGCGGGTTTACGATCAACTTTTTTTCTTAAATTTCTATTAACAACAACTTATGAGGAAACTTTTATTAAAATTGTATGACAGAGAGAAAAATGTTTTGTCGATAAAAATAATTTAAACAAATGAATGAAAATCGAAAATGTCTTGTGCTTAAAAAATAGCTTAAATATTCGTAGAGTCTGAATATCTTATAAATTGTGTGGCGTGTTAAAAATCTACAAATACACCAAAAAACAAAACATATTTCGTCAATTTTGTATTAAGGTAATTAAAATATCTTGTTTTTCCTTTTTTCTCCAGATGCTTTTGAACATTACTGGGAATTTTCTATTTTGAGTTTTGACCTTTCGAATTCACCAACTAGATACATTTTCCCACCAGAAAAGTTACTCAAGTTGAAAATTGAAGCATTATTATTTATTTCGACTTCTTATCGTGTAAACAGACCCAAATAATAATGAAAAAAACACATATCGCTCTGCTCAGAATCTAAAATGTATAATGACAGCTAGACCTATTACCGTCTATTACTTAAATGTCCGAATACGTTTATTTGATAAATCAGAGTAAATCTAAATAGACATTTGAAACTATTGCGTGTTATGTAAATAGTATAATTAATGATTTCAAGTGGTTTTGGGTCACGGTATCGCGTTATGAACAGTCGTATTTACATGCAAATGTATAAACAGTTTTGCCTTATAGGTATTTATTATATTTTAACGACACTAAACAATTTTATTATTAAGCTCATATTTAAGAAAAAATTGTATTTTATTAAACAGCTAATAATATAGCAACTCCTGTTTTAGGGGACTTGACTTTTAGGATATCAATAATTGTTTATGTATATTATTAAATAGGAATGACCGACTGTGTTGCAGTTGATTATGCATAGGTATAGGTACTACAAATTCTGTTGACTTATGAATATATTTGTTTAAACATTTTTCCCAAATATCAGTTAGTCGTATTATGTAATTATTTCAGAAACATGCGTAATTTAATAAAGCGTGTAACATATTGTATTAATTTGTCACATATAGGTAGTTGCTTGATTTTTTTTTAGTTTCTCGTGTGATTGCTTTTTTGAGCTCTAAAAGGAGCTAGTGCTCGGAATCGTTCAAGTAAGCTACAGGAAACGTCCAATAATCGAGTAACCTTCCTATATGATATGGAGTACAGAGGTAAAAAATTCGAAAGTGTTATAGTTGTACACTTTAAAAGAGTTATTTTATTTGCCAGTCACTTTTTGAAAAATTGCAAAAGACGGAAATGCCAGAAATTGATTTCGAATAATATGATGTTTTGGATACAAATATATTCACTAAACCTACATCGATAAATGATTTTGAAAACGTATGACAAACTCATACAATATGTAGACGGGTGATTTTGCATTTTTGCGTCACGTCGTGCAGTTCCGAAATAAAATCAAACGTCAACGTATGGATATCAGCGCAGTAAACAAGGACTCGCTATATTATGTAAGCATCACTATGTATATACGGTATATAATATGGCATGTGCATGATACCTGCTTATGATTCGAGATACAAATAGAATTTGGCTCCATCGAGTGTGCCGAATGTTTTCCAACTGAGTATTATTCGAATCACGCTTACCCACTCAGAATTGTATGGGTACTTACATTGAACGCGGAGGGTGACCGGTCGTGACCGTCCCATTCCCAGGTCGTTATTACACTGACACGTGTACCGACCGGAATGTCGGCGGCCCACGTTCCTTATGACCAAAGTGCCGGCGCTCAAAAGAACGACTTTGATTTCCGAGTCGATGCTGACGCTACCGTTGCTGCTGCCGTTTTGCAAGATCGGGTGACCCTGCAGCATATTATTACAGACGCGATAAATATCATTGATAGACGTTTCGCTAATACCTATCGCCTTTGCCGGGCGCACTCACGTTGTGATACCATTCGATGCGATTACGTTGCTTCCCTCTGCTCCCGCTGCCATCCAACACCTTGCATTCGAAATACACGTCGTCTCCCGTTTTGATTCTACTCGGATCGAATGTATGGCCCAAACTCAATTTAACTATAGGCGGATCTGTAAATATGAAGCGTCATTGTCATCACACAATTTATTATTTTTCTTTTTTAAGCTTTCAACTTAATCTGTAATTGAATAAATAACTACACAACCGGTGCTTTTTGACTGTGTAATTAACAGATTGAAATATGTGTTAATCGTAGGTAACTCATTGCAATCTTAATATGTTTCGAGAACGAATTTTGCATTGCGAAAATTATCGTTGTATTGTCTAAAGTTTCTAGTCAACATTTATTTAAATATATGATTGAAATCAATACGTACAAGTTCAATATCGTAGGTACTGAGAATAATGAATTAAAATTTTTTTTTTTTACTACATCGGAAAATAATTAAAATGTTGTTTTGAGGTTTTCAAAATAAATTCCAGTTGGTACACGTGACGTTAAGTAACACATTAAATACCCACTCACAATATGTCTGATATAAAGAGTACATGAAACATTTCTCAAAGAACTATCAGTGGTTTAGCCAATAGAAATCATAATAAAACGTATCTGAAGGTATAGATAGTTCACCAACATTTAGGACGAATCGTAAAAATAATATAATAGTTAAATAAAACACGATATAGGTATATATGGGTACCGTGATTTATAAATTCTAATAAATTCGCACACTGACTTCGGACTAGAATGAAAACACAGTATAACGGTGATTACAACTACGACTATGACCACGGTGACAAGGTGTTTAATTAGTTTTTACTTACATTGGACGTTAAGTAATAAAGCTTTATTTTTAATGTTATCTTTGGTGGTATTAATATCAGGGTTCCAAGCTCGGCATCGTAAATATCGACCATCGTCACTCGGTGTAGGCCTCAATCGTATCCTACTGCTATGTTCGGTTTGCTAAATAACAGACACGAATAAAATAAACATAACGAAGTTACTTTACTAACTATTATAGTACTATATTTACTAAGTGTACGGGCACGTAAGATTATTAAATACTTATATTATATATCATTATGGAAAAAAATTGTCAGTTAACCCTGACCAATCTGTCTTGTAGTTAAATTTAATTCCAAACAAAACTATATGTTAATTGGTACAATGAAATAACATATGCGACAAAATAATATTTTTTTAGGAGTACAGCAATAATCACTCACCTCCATTACTGTTATACGAGCAGCAGTCGGAGAAGAAGGTATTTCGTCAGCTAAAGTACCGTTTCCGTCAATAGACCATTCTATCGTAGCCTTAGGACTCGCACCCTCGGCCCAGCATTCGCCCGTATACCACTTACCGGATATAAGATTTGTTGCTTGTACAACACCGTCATTGTTACTGTCTTCGTTATCATTTACAGTGTTCTCAGACTCGTCTATTGGATGTATGCCCACAATACGTACACTTTTCACATTCACTGAAAGGAAAAAATAAGTATTTAAAAAAGAAAACTAGTAAATACTAATATGAATATTAATGAAAAATTCAAGTCCCTAAATTATTTATTTTTGAGTTACAAGTTACAACGAAATAAGTTTTGTCAAAAAATAGTTTTTGCGTCAAACTCCAGGTTTTCCTTATAATTATTATTATTTTTTTGAATAGAATAGTTTTAACTGATAATGGTATTGAAAATATGTTTAATTATCTATGTAAAAGTATACATATAAAACATAATAATTAATATTATATAGTAGGTAGGATACATAATACTTACACATATTATGAAGATATAGCTTCTAAATATTACTTTAAAATCAGGACTATTATTTAATAATATGAGGCATATGAAAAACATTTATTTGTGCAAAAACGTGTATTTATAAAAGCACATATTTGACACAATTTATGCTGTCAAGAGCATTTTTTTCCAAAGTTAGATATTCAAACTATTTCAAACTATTTCAATCAATTCTGTGTTTTTACATGTATGTTACACAATGCATTTTGAGATTTAATTATAATTGTAATTATTATTTTCACCGATGGTTGGTTGACTACAAGTTGTATATAAAATACTTACGGTACATGTTTATCAGCACTGTCATTCGGAGATTTGATTGCATGGTGTTGTCGTCGTTCCCAGCCAGACAAGTGTATGTGCTATTAGCATGACTTCGATTCAATTGATGAATTACTAGACTTTTGGTTGTTGTTTCTCCGTCGTCGTTTTCATTTCCGTAAGATACTTCCTCTGTCAGATCCATGATTGTTCCCGTTCCGAGCGACGAGGTGACTTTGCCGTCCGCGGAGTACCACTGCACCCGTGGCTTGGGTTTCCCTGTACAATACGTCAGTTCGCTACTATAGGTAATTGTGTAGTGGGAAGGGGGGGGGGGCAAAAGTACATTTTCGTTGAATTCGATTTCCGGGCACATTTAAAAAAAGGTGTACGTATAAGTGCTTGTGTAGGTACCGAACGCTTATCCGTACAAATGAAATCGAATAACGTAAATAAATCGTTATTTGGATTAGATATATTATGTTTATATATACATCACACATTCAATGAATCGACATTAAGGCGTATACAAATCGGGCTCATTACAATATGTCCCATCATTAAACTGTCACGTAATCTACACTCTACAGTATATACTCATCGTGTACCTACTATATAATATAACGTTACAGCTTATTTAAATATAGTAAATACGACGATTTCTCATTTGCGAATGGGGTGGGTGTGAAGGGGAAATATTGGTATATGATCGATGTAAATATCGTAAACCAACAAAGCGCGTACAATGATAATTCGTCAACAAACCGACAAATCGACCATTTTTTTATGTCATAATTCATCGACAAATCGTATTCTTAAAACAATGTCGAACATGCCGTAATATAAGTAAACTGTACATCAATAATTCTTCAAGCAACTGCGTTTATCGCGTTACCATTACACAATCAGTCTTTATATGTGCGTATATTATACTAATTGTACTTATAGACCTCATATTTTTGTTTGATTATTCCTAGTTATTATATTAATAGTAAATAAATCTGTAGAATAGGTAATAAATTGTAGCTATTATTATCTACTGTTAAAACACTTAAAACCAGGTATGATGTGTCATTCCCCTCCTCAGTTTTCATTTCCATATTTCATCACCTTTATTTGAAGTTACAATTTTTGAATTACATAACTGTTGTTCAAAGAATAACTATATGGAATATAAATCTATTATTAATAAAACAAACGAAAAGGAAGACTGACAGACAATCCAATGAATATCCGGTGTTACTTGAGACGGCTTAAATAACGCATAAATATCAGTCCATATTAATATTATATTATTAAAATATATGACTTTATCGGTATCATTATTTATAGAAACAAAATAAAATCCGAAAAAAAAAAAACAAGGTGATAAAAATGGGTGTTGTAGGGCAATTTCAACCTTGTTTTTGTGAACAATTGGAAATATTGACTGTAGATATGGATACCATTCTGTAATACCCATTTTTCATGGCATCACTGTCTGTGTAACAGTTTTAAATCACTAAAAATCAAATTTTTTGTCAGACGAAACATTGGACGTCCAGATCACTGGACTCAAAACGCAGACATAATACCTTTTAATTATTATTAATTATTATTAAAGCCGTCCAATACTCCATTCTCCCCGTGTACCGCACTACCAATAAAGCACTACTGTATCGACTCAAGCGTTTATGAAGTACCTATCGTTATAAATCATAAGAATAACATTAAATTCTCACCTCCTTGAACTCGGCACTCCAATACCAATCGGCCGCCTTCCGGCACTGGGCCGATGGTGTGATGCGATCCACCGTCGATTTCCGCTCCTACTCCGTTATAAGCGATTGTCATTTTATCGGGTGGTACTACATATAATGACATGGACATACAATTAAAATTAATTAGTCACAAGTTTTTGATGTTCAACATCAAGATTAATGTACATATTTTCGATGTAAGTACAATATTATGATGTCAGTGTTTATTTATCAATTAAATCTAAGTATGGATAATCTAGGTATAGTGTAATAGGTAATTTTAATTAGGTACTATTATAAACGCAAATAAGCGTTAAAAATACTATCTTAAATCTTGTTCCTTTTTTTTCAATGTCTAAGACGTTCTAATTACATACCACTCATTATGTATATTTATGTTTTAATAGTCTAAAACGTATTAATTCTCCAAATATTTTCATTAGGTATATTATCGATTACTGAACCAATAATACATTATTTATGTACATTTTAAGTTTAGATAAGAGAAGTGAAGAAGCAAGAAATACTATACAGCTTACTACGGACTACTTTCCTCTTCTAAAATTTGAATACTTATAAATAGGCTTAAGGACTTCTAGCTCTGAAAAAATGCAGACATGATTTTAAAAAGAACCAAATATGCTTTAAAAATGTTATTTTACCGAAAAATTGGTAGGTATAGTACTTATTATTTATTTTGTTTTACATATTATTTTTTAATGATATTTGAGTGAAAAAATGAATTGATTATATTATATAGTTGGCTACTCGTTGATTGTGGTAACTTTGGCGAGTTAAAAACACAGAAGTATTCAATTAATCGCGATACATATAGTTGCAGAAAAATAAGTATCTACACCAATTTTATAAAACTATAGAATACAGACTTCCTATACAATTAATATAATTTATCATTTTATCTAAAAATGAATCCGCGCGGGAAATACGATATATGAACTATTTTACGATTGTTTATTATTCCACTATACACATCTTCAGTAGGCAAGACAATGTGTATGAATTCAAACAGGGTACAACACATTTAAGAAAATAAGACTTCATAAAGTCCTTTTATAGCATTTAAAATCTACATATACTGCTAAAATATGCTCTAATAAGAAAAAAATATTAAAATGTGCAAAAATATGCACAGTACAATTTCAGATTTAGATTCTATATAATAAGAACAGGATTTATATTTGACTCTGCTACTTTTTACATAATTCAGAAAAACATTCAAATGCTAAAAGTCCCTAAGCCTACTTATAAGTAATACACCGTAGGCTAAATGACAGAAATTTGTATAACAACGTTTTAAGACAAATATCAACGATTAGTGGAATTCAAGATAGCATTTGTATGATTAGGCTCCATACGAACTGAGTGCCAACAAAACTTTTTAGAACGGATTGAGTTCCGTGTTGGTTTAAGGTACAAACTAATTCAGTTCCGGGAAATTTAAAATAAAATACCGATTGAGACATTGAGTCAATGTTTAAATATTAACTGAGTCCCGCCAAACTTTAAAATCAAAACATCTTCCTTTTCATATTTATAGATTTCTATAACAAAAGAATCTACAGGTACGGATAAAAATGTTTGTTTTTTATATTGGCTTTGATAAATTTGACTAATGTGTGTAATGATATATAATATATAATTCAGTTTCACTTCATGAACTAAGCATAACATAATATCGGTAATTATTACTATAATTGACGGTATAAATAAAATACAAAATGTCCGTCTTATATAAATGTAATAGTATAACAATTGACACATACTTATTCATAAAAAAAGGTTTTGAGAATAATTTTTAAAATTTTATTGATGTTAATTATGTTTAATTAATATTTAAAATAATTTTAATATTTTTTGTTATAATAGTTGATTTTTATTTGATTATATTATAATTTAGATTTTTAACAAGACTTTAAAATATTACCTAATTCAACGAAAATCATGTAAATTTTCTAAACAGCATATTCTATACAAACTTCTACCAATTTATAAAATAATGTGGAGCCCTGTAAAATTCTGCACTGGGCCCCAAAATGTAACGGACCGGCACTGTACTTAAATGTAACGGACCTTAAAATTAGTTATAAATAAACTTTTTTTCCCTAACATAGGTAGGTAGCACAAAAGTCATCCGAGTAAACTAATGAGTGTCTCGTGTCAAAATAATGCGTTGTTTATAAACTACAAAGTTTCGTTATATTGGTACCTATTAATAAAAAAATATGAAAAACAAATAAATTTACCTTTAGAAAATGAAACATCTCTATTTTATATATTTTTTTAGTTATTAGTTATAACTTATTAGTACTTATTACTGCTATTAATTAGTTTTTGTAAGACTATTGTATATTTTATTAATTATGAGATGTTAAATCCTATTTTGTAAAAATTAAATTAAATTAGGTAATTGATAATTATTATTATAATTCATATTAATTATAATTATAACTGATATTATTTTTGATTCTTGTATACTAAGAATATTATCTAATACTGGAGTTATGTGAAATTACGTTTCCGGTAGACTTTTGTTCTGGAACAATTAATAGGACATGAACACCTAAAACGCTAACCTAACATAATCTAACCTGACCGAAGCCTCCACACACTAATAATGATTTGAATCTACATCAAATATATTCTACTAACCTATGACTCGCAGGATTATTCGATAGTTCCGGGTAGGTGAATCACGAAAATCTACTCGACACCTGTAAGCCCCGGCGTCCTGTTCTGTCACGTTGGTGACTTTGAGCGCTGCTTTGCTACTGTTGTCGTACAGGCCACCGTTGTAATCATCCAACAGCAAAGTACGCTGTTTCGACCATTTTCCTCGCCCATTGCTGCCACCGACACCGCTGCTGCCTCCAAACACCACAAACGACGCCCTGGGCCCGAACCCTCCGCTCTCCTCGTCCGAAGACCATTTCAACGCGTGAGCTAACGGTCTTCCACGCACGTCGAAACTATAAACGCGGTTAAGTTAATTAAACGTTTTAATTAGTGGTCGGAGAGCAAAACGTTAGCGGGTCCGGTATACAGAGGGATTATTTATTATACGCATGGGACTTATCCGAGGATTCGGCGACGATGTTTTATTCCTATTCCGACAATAGACGCCATTTCGTACGCGTTCTACATCAAATGTTTTCCGCGTTGACGAAATAATATTATACGACTTTGTATGCAAGACTTGTGTAATGTGACGACTGATAAAGAATTCACGGTTGGCGAGAATTTCACTCAATCAGTGACTTTCGAGATGGTTATTTTATTTTCACTATTATTATTATTTTTAGTTCAAAATTTATGTTACCACACGACATTAAAGTGCTAGTCGTAGTTTTAGTGTGATAATGTGAGATATTTTTAGGGTAGCACGCATCACAAATTGATCTATTGCCTTAAATTTGGAACGCTTTTAAAACTAATTTAAAGTGCTCGCCGCATGCGGGGAATTATATTAGCTTGCAATTATTGCAATTAATTGCAATCGCGGTGGAATACACGGAACATTTTGATACAACCATTTATAAATTACAGTTCAAGTGCAGTAGTTTCTGGTCATCATGAAATAGTGACTCTGCATTTAAATCATTTCGATTTTGACTCTACTGTTGGGGGGCAAAAAAAAAACATCTACAGAGCATATAACATTTTGAGAAGACTAAAATAAGTATCTTTTATTTTAATTTACAACATTTTATTCTAATATGTGCAACATGTTTTATGAATTGAGAATAAAACTATTTGAAAAAAAGTAAGAATGCCAAATACTTTATTATACCGACTTGATAATATACATATATATATGTTATGTTTGTTGAATCTGAATATTACCCGGAGCATTATAGAAGATATTCAAATGTATGGTAATACCTACGCGGCTTTACAAAATATGTCATTAACTAATAACAATCTTGTGGTCACAACTATGAATCACGTTTGTAACTCATAGGTTGGGAATCGCTGCAGGTATGTCCATCATAGATCAATTCGATATTTTATCGCTCATTATTTTAATTGCATTTGACTCAGTCTGGTGGCAGGAGAAGAGCAGATACTTATTTCTCATCTGATCGTGTCACTATGTGCTGCTAGTGAGTCAAATCCAAATCGAAATAACGAGCGAAAAATGATTGAATTGGCGTTGTCTATACTGTTTTTTAAATCTATGCCTGTATTTAATATAGCGACATGGGTCTAAAACTCTGAATCGGATAGAAATCAACGCCCTACAAATTCGAGAACAAAACAAACCTTGGATTTATGCAGAGCTCACTGAAACGAAACCTACCCGTATTCTCAGAAGGACGCGGCTTTAATAAAATAAAATTCACAGTATTTTTGTTGGATACATTTTCAAACAATATCTACACCTATAAAACGTTCATAACATTAATCGTATCTACATAGGTGAAACTGCTGTTGTATTACCTGTACAGAGGTTTTCCTCCAGACCATATTTTTTTGTTTTTTGATTTACTATTCCGGTGACGGATTGTCATTGAATGGTGTTTGAACCACAGCACCATGTACGCTCGGTCTTCGATCGTGTTAGTCAAGTCCTTGCTATTTCCACCTCCAGCCGATGCGACTCTTGCTGGTTGTTTTGGCAAACCGTCGTTATTACCACCGCCTATGTCACACGGCAGCCAAGCCACAGAACCACGAACTGCAGTCACCGTTACAGTGCTCACTGCACATACATACAACACAATAAAACAAATAACAATAAAGTATGTAGGTATTATAATATCATATAAAACTACATCATTTATGTAACATGTATAGACAAATTATATATTTCTCGACGTGAACGGTTAGTCAGTTTTTTTTTTTTTTACAAAGTTTATATCGGAATAATAAAATTAAATAGTAAATACATAAATGTGCTAGACGCTATAGTGCTATGGTCATATATTATTATATACATATAGGTGGCTAAGAATTGTATTGCGTATTAAATGCGAAAAACGACATTTCTTCTGTGTGTTTGATAATCGAACCGGCTGTTGCAAGTTTCAATAAGGAAATTTTTTTCTTAACTACTGACAGGCATTTTATTATTTGAAACTGCTATATGGTATATATACGGTCTTCATCGAAAAGGCTTACAAAATCTCAAGTTACTATGGGTACTATTATAGAGTATAGGCGTATAGCCACTATTATGTGTCCATACAAATGTATAAATATTGGCTGTAATAAGGAATATGGATACAATCAAATACTAAGTAGGTATAGGATGCTGAATGCGTTTGGAGTTACATAATTATTCTTCAACAACGCAACCACTTAAAAATATATAGGTTTACTACAATAAAACAAAAAATTAGGGTACGTACATATTACTAATATATTGTTATATAGGTATACGATGTTATTCTAATAAAAGTCGTTTAAATAAGGGAATCGTACAAGATCAATAGAAACGATGAAAAATAAACAATATTTGTAATACAATTTGTCCGCTCTCTTGATTTATATGACATAAAACACATTACATTTTACAATGCATTACATAGTAGGCTCATTGAAAGTTCCGAAGAGCTAAGTCGTAGAGAGAACAAAAAAAAATCATAATATAGAGGAATTCGATAAATATAATTTACACATGATTAGCAACTAAGATCATGGTTATCAAAAATAATTCATCAAACAGGAAATGTTGTGAAATTAAAGTTCGTTATACAGGAGTTCACACTGTATATAGGTAAGTTTTAGTTGTCTGTAAACATGTAATAATATTATGTTACTGTGAAGGCCTTCAGTATGGTAAATGGCGACAGTCACCAGTAAATGTCGACATATACAAATCAAATGGGCAAATGTTGAAAAATTAAAACATTTGGAATTAATTAACTACAATGAATGACGAAATTTACATGATGATTTTGGCTATCATCGTTATCATACGACGTTCGCTTTAAAAAAAATATTGATGATATTTACAAAACATAATGTGTCAATATGTTCGATTGAATAATTAAAATATGTTAAGTAACTTTTATAATTAGGTAGATTTACTGTTATTATATATTTTGAATAAAAATATGTATTAAAAAAATTATAAGAATAATATTATAATTAATATTCAGTTTTAGTGATTTTATTAATTCCAATAAGACAAACTACCATTATGTTTTGAAAGTGCCAACATCTTTACCACTATGGTGCACAATTGGTTTTGCAATTTCATCTCGTTATATATTTGTCCATTTACTACTTTGTTTTAAATAGAAATATAATTTCGTATCAATGAATTTTGTTAGTCAGTTAAAACTCATCGATTGACATTGCATCTTTTGCTAACTGAAAACTGATCTTGGTATAGTGGTGTATCACTAATTTATATCATCTTTGGCAGTAAATTTATAAAAATCATAAAGACATATAGAATAAAAGAAGTTGTGTTGTAAGATAATATTATAATTTTGTAAAAATTATCAACTAGTACCTATGTTAATATTGAACGGTAGCCGGTACACTAAGTACATACTATATTGTGACTTTCCTGTAATTCTGAGATTACCACCACCCACCAGCCTTATTAACCTGCAATATACCACTGTGAAAATGTCAGCATGCAAAACTTCCATACAACGAACTTCCATTTAACGAAATGTTCTGTTTAATGAATTATTTTTGAGAACCATGATCTCCATTATTAATCATGCGTACATAATATTTAACAAATTCTTCTATACTACAATTTTTTTTCTGTTTCACTTGCGACTTCATTACATGAAAGTTTCAATGTAGTATAAAAAGGCCCTCCAATAATTTTCGTGTATGCCAACATTGTCTGGTGACTGTCGAAATTCACTAACTGCGGACGTTCCGAGTAGCAAATATAAACTATGTATAATAATACCCATAATGGATGATGATAATTATTTTATATACCACGTAACAATGTATTTGTACGTATATAAAATACAAAAATAAAATAAGTGGTTGAGTGTATTTATGTATACAAGCGGACGAGCAACATAGATACATACAAATACAATGCGTTTTACATATTATATTTTGGTTAGGATTTAAAATATGCTGGAAGGACGCCCAACCTAACAAATCAGTCAAATTATATTACCAACACCGCGTCTTCGGGATGAAAATATAATTATCATTAATATAATGAAAATTACGAATATATTATAAAAGACAGTGTGTGCGTAATCATTCGTCATTGTACGTCATCAGCGTATATATAATATTATATAATGCGAGGAGGTGGGTTGCATAATAGAAATAACAATAATAATACATAATAATATTATTATTATCCGGCAGCTGCTCACCTCGCCACCCAAACATTTTAATAATTCGATTCTCGTCAACGAATTGTGTGTGTGTGTGTGTGTGTGTGTACAAATATTAATAATAATTCTATTATAATTATGACGGTATAGCAGACGACGACGATCCCATTATTTTGTTAAAATTAAGGCGGAGTTATTATTATTATTATTATTATTATTATTATTATTAATCTTGGGTGAACGTCACGTAGCGGCGACGACGAAAATGAAAGAAAATGGACACGTCGCAGTTAACGCACACACACACACACACACACACACACACACACACACACACACACACACATATATACACACATATACACACATACGCTCGAACTCACGTATAGGGGTGTGTGTGGTCGATATCGTCGCCGTAGCGTAAACGATTTAGCACCCGCCGCCACACTCGCGATCGCTTTGATCAAATTGTTATTTTAGGCTCGGTATGTGATGACGGAGGGTGGTGGCGAACTACGCGACTATACGACGACGACAACCAAGTATAATACGTACCTACACGCAGTGTGTGTGGTGCGCCGCCCGCTTACTGGGCAAAATAGCCTATAGAAAAAGCAATAAATAACGTCGGTCGGTGGCGAACAGTGGGCGGGCGGCGCGCTGTCGTATTTAAATTGGACATTACCTCCGACGAGAGTAGAAAAAAAAAAGTGTTACCGAACGTCGGCGGCTGCGGCGGCAGCGGCGTAAAATAAATAGTACAAAACTATTTTACATATACGCGGCGGCGGGAGTACGACGATAATAGGGTAGCAAGGGTTGGCGGATGCGTGTAGTGAGTGGGGTGCTCCTAGAGTACACCTTGCGCCTCCCCCCCCCCATCCCGTCTCCGGGTCCCGACGACTTTGTGCCGCTCTGCGGGTAATGCGTGTGTGATTTGACATTGTCTCGTTTTTCTTCGGTGCGATGTCGTAGGTTAGGAGAAGGATCGGAAAAAGGTGTACAGACGTATGTATATATATACACATATATATATATAGGTATATATTATACGTTATATAGGTACATATATGCACATGAGAGCGGGCTCGCGCCAGCGTGTGTGTGGGTTTGAGTTTGTGGAGAGATGACGACGACGGCGATTACGATAATAATAGTAGTATGTGTACGCGTAGTGGGTGTGTTGGTGTGCGGAAGGGGTGGCGGTAGTTATAGTTCGGCGGGTCTCGCAGGAGGGTATAGTAGTGCCGAGCTCGAGAAGGCGGCGGTGTGAAGGCTACGGTGGTGGCCGGGTAAAAATAGCGGCGAACCGTGATAACAATCGTCGTTGTTGGTCGTTGACGTTTATATTTTATATACAATAATATAATATATATATATATATTATGGACCTATATATATTTATATTCTCGTATATGTATTTTATATTTTTATGTATAAATGCATACATTATATAAAATATATATGCATCATATACAGCCGCACCTGTAATCGAAAAATAACGGGGGTGTGGGTTGATGGTGGGGAGAGACGCTGCTCGAGGATAACCGAAATAATAACGATAAATATAGCTGCAGAAAACGGTAAGGGGGGGGGTAGTGGTTAGGCGAATGAGATGGGGTTGAAAAAAGGTATACCCCGCGATTGCAGCGCACGTTATGACGATGCGCCGACGAACAGGAATGGACAGTGGTTGTAGAAGAACCCAGTGTTCAGAGGAGTAAACTGAAAACACAAGAAATCAAAACGACACTTAAAATTAAACAGTCAAAAATCGTTAATATTATAAATTGTAATGCATATAGTGTAGTAATTAGGAATGCGATTGATGCGTTAGACTATATATTTTTATTTTCAATATTATGTAGAACAATCAACCAAATTACATTCATCAACTTTCTATACAATAACAATTATTAATTACAGATGATTAGAAGTGAGGGTGGCCGAGAGCGTGCCAGTAAAAAGCTTTAATGCACACAATGTAACACATGGTATGCAAACTTAATAATAAAAATAATATCAAAACATTTTTTTCTTGTACTTTGAATATTTTTGTCGGCTAATTCCATTAATACTATTAGGTACTCTATGAATATTCATGGAGCAATTTTATTAACCGTTAATACATATACGTATCGTTAGTACCTTGCACTTGGATAAAATAACACATGTATAGTATAATAATGTAAATTTTTTTTAGTATACGAATGTCGTGATGAATATATACGATCGATATGGATCTATATTATAATAATACATTTATTAAATATCTATAGGTACAATGTTATTTAATATAAATCTATATTTTAATTCAAAAGCATCAATATCATTGATGATGACAATGATGAAAAAAAAGTAACATCTCTAATCTATGACACGATAATAATATTTTGAATGTATAATATACACAGTGATACGTGATAAAAAT